CTGCTGTCAAAATTAATTCACCTTCATGTATTGAAAACCAGTCTTTCTGGTGTCGCTGAGAGAGACTGTCAAAAAAGCTGTTTAGCGTCTCTGAATGAGACTCGAGTCGCTCATAGAGAGATCCCCATTTCGTATCCAGTCTCTGAACGAGAGACTCAAATCTCTCAATAAGTGGTGTCTCGATAGACATGGTTAAAAAGTTCAACATATTTTAGAGATCCCAGTCTTTCTACGAGAGATTTGAGTCTCTCAATTTTTCAGTTTTATGCATTCAATCTCTCTGTGAGAGACTCGAATATCTGAATTAACAATTTTATCGTTCGTGTCTCTCATACAGAGACTGTGAGAGATCCATAAAAACACCCAAGCAACAACTGAGAGACTATGAAGGACTGTGAGAGACGCTCTCAGAGACGCTGAAAGACTCTCAAAGACTCTCAGAGACTGGAGAGAAACTGAACATTTTTGTCTAGAGTGAACTAATCTAAGGATAAAGAAAACTTGACTGTTTCCTCAAATTGCATTTTATTTTAACTTAAAAAAAGTAAATCGCAGGGGTGTTCTCAGGTAAGACTCGAGTAGCAAAGTTTGGGGAATCCGTTGCAGTATCGAGATAAGTAATTTGATGGAGAGCATCGATCAAATTATAGTAGTAAAAATAGTTGAGAAAAAGGTTTCAACAAGAAAACTCGCAGCAATTAGCAGCAAATCCGTTACAAAGTTAGCCACCGGTGGTTAAAGTTTGATTTAACAATCTCAGTGCCCCCGGCTACCCTGTGAAAGTATATACCCTATGTAACCGATAACTTTGACTTTGCGTGCCTTGTAGTAGTTTCAAAGTTATTTCTGTGGACGCTGCGGAAGATCGTGTAGACTGAAAATGTTGCTGCTACTGTTACGACCTACTGCGTGAACTACCTCTTTGTTGTAGCCCTCGAAGCTTTCTGATTCTGACAAGCAGGGGGTAAACTACCAACATAATGGACGAATACTTTTCTTGTTGACTTCATTAAATAGTCTACGCTAATTTTAACAATACATATGAAATAGGTACCCTTATCACAATGTTAAACGTACTAGATAATAGCTGCAGTTGCAATTGATACAGAACTCATATTGCTAAAGCGAATGGTGCCATATCAAGACACATTCTCTCGAAATTATGCAAAAAACGACCAGGTTTAGGTTAATTTATCAGATACTGTTTAAGTGACTAAGTTTTTCATATACACTACAAACATGTCCAATCACCTTTGTATATAAATAATAAATTAATATAAGTTTAATAGATACAATTTAAAACATTGTTCAAAAGATTTTGAAAATTCGGTTAGTCTAGGACTGTTTTCCGAGAAGCAGATAAACGTCCACCAAATTATTCATTTTTCATCCGTGTCACATAAAAAGAAAAAATGCCGACAAAGAAATGTGTAATTTTTATGTTCGATGAAAGAGCGGCGTAAGCTGCGATCGATACATCGGCACTTGTTATATTAATAAAACACTGCCTCGAGCCAACAGCTGCGGTCTTAAATCATGTACGAATATCATCCATACAAAATACACGTCAATAGGGATACGTCGGAAAGTTTCCGGAAGTATTCATGAACATTCCATGACTGTATAGATAGTGTTTATCAAGTCGACCAGAAGCGGGTGATAAAAGGTGAAGTAGTGTCCAAAAAATTCCNTTTATTTAAAAACCGGTGACTTTGATGGTGCTTCAAATTGTAATTGTAAATAGTAATGAAAGAAAGATGTAATCATGTTTAAAACATTAGAAATTATTAATAATACACAGTTAAAATCGGTACTATCGATATTCTGTTCACACGAAAGATACGAAATATTCACTGCTATTTCCTGTTAAGGCGGAAGTGGCACCCAATTTCGTCATTCGATCAGTTACACCTTCGATACAATTTTGTGATTTGCAAATTAAAGCTCAATTTATTTTAAACAATGCTATATTATATTTCTATATTGTAATTTCGTAAAAAATGAAATGGTGCACTGATACATAAATATTTTCAAAATTCATTAACAATAAAATTCATAGACAAAGGCATGGAAGGAGGGTGTAATACAACCACTCAAATTGTTGTTGGTTGTTAAAACTTCTTAGAACTTACAGAATTATTAAAAGATAAATAAGTTATAAGGAAATAGTTTCTACATATTTGTTATTGTAGTTTTCGGATGACAATGACCTCCATCTGGTCAAGTACGTAATAACGTAATCGACATTTCGAAAGAGTCGTTTTATTAATGAATTAACATTAAGATTGCAAACGAACGGTGACCCAGAATTGTTTGCATAATTATATAGATACATATACATATTTATACCTATCGAAGGTAATAAAATATATTTGGAAAAATACGTTTTATTATGTATTCTGTAAAATTGTAAAAAGTGTCTTGAACGTTCAATGAATATACCAACAACGGTTACTATTTTTACGTTAGTTAGTATGTCATACGTTGTTTTTATCATGATCAACTTGGCGTACGCGTAAAAAGACCATTTCTGGAAAACAAGTTAACTGGGTGTCATATGTTCTACAGCAATCAAAAAGATTTTTTTTTAAAAAAAAAGTCAAAGACGTGGATTGCATCATCGTTTTCGAATGCAGGTAGAGGACACCAGGTTACACCAATACTCATAGGTACAGTGCAACCAACGTAAGAAAAGTTCTGGCTGTGTTACGCCCACATATGCGCAGTGGACAACGATCGCTTTCAATCGCTGATCACTAATTATTTATCGTTAGTAGTTTTTATAAAGTTAAATAAATTGTTTCAAAGTGTTATACACATGTATGTGATGAAATCAATAAGTAAAGGCGACCACAGTTCACGTATGAACCACATACAGAGGCGATCAATTAATCTGTCGTATTGGTCGAAAGCGGTAGATAGCACCGCTATAAATTATGCGCAGAATGACCGCATAACAAAAGAATTTCGAGAGAGAAATCAAGAACTACTAGTTGACTGATAAACAGTAGCGAATCAGTGACAAATATTGTGAGTTGAAAATGATTGTGAAATAAATAACTGTTTGTGAGTGCAAATAGGGGTGCATATAGTATTATTGCGTCATTGATCTGTATTACAATAAGACTGAGCGATAAATTTAGAGTCAGCAATATTTTGCAAATGTCAAGCTAATGGTACCTATATAATCTAAAATGCTTTATAAACGAGATCGATTTATTGGTATGTGAATTAAATAAAATTCAGGGGTATTACGTCATTCATTAAGAAGACATAAAATGAAAAAATTAATTTTACCAGATGAACAGCACTGCAATAACGCTATTGGAATGTCCTAAAGCTTTTTTTTTATGTTAGACAATTTATTCAATCAGTCGATGACAGCAAGGAAGCTTCAGATCCTGGTTTAAGTAGTTTCTATTCTCTCTACTCTCTGACTGAGCTAACCAAACGAATCTTTTCAGATTCAGATTTTGTATCGGTGGCGGAACGTGAAAGGTCTATTGTTAGGAAATGTTGGTATTTGATGGGACTAGTAAATAAAATTTTATTGCCTATTTACGAACCTTTTTTGTTGAAACTTCCTTTGTTAACCGCCGCAACAGTGGCAATAAAAGAATGAGTGGCAGAATTCTCAGAAATCTGACCATAAAACATCTATTACCTGCAGCAGAATCGTCATGTTAACGCCATATAATTTATTTAAGTGTCCACTTTGTTATCATTTCCTTTTATAGATTTTTTTGTATTACTATTTAATTAGTCCATGCCTGTTTTACTTAAATTACTTTTACATAATTGCCGACTGTACATATAAGAGTAAGAAGCAAATAATTGTTTAATAAATACGTGGTAATTAATTTGATAAAGACACTTAAGTTTCTTACAAAAGATGAAGTGTAAAAGGGAAAGTGTAATTATGGGAATACGGCTGCCTTCTCTTCGAGAAAATTTGGTGTTTACTATTTTGAACAATTTGCGAAATTTTAGCCCGTTAATGTGATTATGTTGACGTCAAGGTGAAATTCCGAGGGTTAATTTCACGTTTGAAGAACGTTAGACTTCAACAAAGAAATTATATTCGTATTTCCCTTACGTAATACTTAAGATACGTTTCACTGTTTCACGTAGTCTCCATGCCGTGCCTGAGCTGTTCGTGAAACACATCGTTCCGAAAAAAAAAACTTGGGTGTTTCATTCCCACCAGCTACTAATGCTTGTGGGCGGGTAGTCTCTCCGGACTATGCCGGAAGGTAGGGCGGGAGACCGTCTTCAGCCTCCTGTAAGGAATCGTGGGAATGGGTGGGTGGTGGTTCGGGTGAGAAAGTTGAGACGGACGAAATGAAGACTGAAGAGAATGAAAGATTATCTGTGGAATATCACCGCCACAGCATTTACCTAAATGATCCAAGAAAACCACAGAAAAACTTGGATCAAGGCAAACGGACCCGGAATCGAACCTCTAGGTCATGTCGCTCGGTGATCGTTCCGTCGACATTCACACTTATATATATTACGTCACGCTATGAGAAGTGGATGGGGGGCCTTGAGGTAACATAAAATTTAACGAAATGTGTGACCGGGGGGGGGGGGTCTTAGGACATTTGTACAGAGTCGCCTACTAGTAAAATCGCACGAACGACAGCATGACATGACGAGTGAGTTGGCGGTTATAAGATAAGGGAGCGGGGGGGAGTCCAAAAGTAGCGAAAACGGCGTGACGTAACTCATGAACATTCTCCAATTGAAACGTTCTTTACTTATGCTATTGTGCAGAAACTTTAATTTGCAAATTTGTGTTATTGTTTTGTAATTTTTTTCTCATTTTGTAAAATCCTCTTTGTGATATTTTCTTTCGTGTTATATTTTTTGTTGCATAAGTTGGATAATCCGGGACATTAGTCAAGTCAGTTCTTTTGTTTTAAATCTTATCTTAAATCTAAATTACCGCCAAGCTTAACGTATCATGCATGTTTTATCGAAAAAATTGTGACACTCACCGCCGCCGTCCGGATCACCCGTTGTTTGATGAATGGCGGTCGGCCTAGCAATTTCTGAAACAAAAGAGCCACTTGAAAAAGGCTATCGATACCGAATTTTCCAATAAATTTCACTTACGAACAAGCCTGATGGTTCCATCGGTGTCGCCGAGAGAGTTTTTTGCCACGCATTTGTAGCTGCCGTAATCGCCGTGACTAAGCGACTTTATCGCCAGCTTCATCTGCACTTTGTACGAAGATTCTATTATCGTTGGTTCGTATTTTGCACCTGAACGTGAAAGAAAGAAATTTTCACTCGAAGCAATCACTTTACTTATATCTAATACTAGACAAACTAATCAATATGGAAGAAGACGTTTCAAACCGCGCCATCCTTCTATTTCGTTCAAAATGTTATGTATAGGTAGTTCAGAATCTCATAACCCTTAACCTTGACAAAACTCCGCCCATTCATTGATTGACGTCACTGTTTACAGTTTATCTCAAGCTCCAATTTATGGTTGTACGACAAGGCACATGGTTAGTGTCCCAGTTAATGTCTTCATAATGCACTTACAATATTAATACAAGAAGGTACGCTTCTCGCGCATGTGAAGGTTCATGGGGTTTTGAACTAGCTCTATGTAAACTATATTCATTGACTTAAATGTTAATATCCATTCAAAAGAACTCTACATGGATTTTTATTTAAAGATTTACAGATTTTATTGAATGCTTATTAACATTATTGAAATCTAGCTTGATGATATCTGATGAGACGCCCTTTGCGAATAAGTACGATGAATAATTCTATAAAATTTCACAAATTTGCCATTTAATTTGCTCTACTTATTTAATGAATCCATTTGAAGTTTTTATAGTAGCTAATAAAGCAAACATTTAGACAATTGTCGTGCATTATGACTGTTAGGGGCTTTTAAATTGCTGGTATTACATTAAATGGAAATTACGATAATTATTACTTCACAATTCCACTATAAGGACATATTGACTTACTTTGGGCAATTATATCTCCCGAGTCCTTTGTCCAATAGTTAATTGATTTCGGATATGCTTCTGAATGGCATTCCAGTGTAACCATTTGACCCTCGTGCGCACCAATTAACTGATTTTGAATCCATATCATTGGCGGAACTGTTAACAACGGCCGAAATTAGGTACTTTACAAATTTTGATACTACCTACTGCATACTAAAAATTTTTAGCAAATTGAATTTATTTCTGTTGAATAAAAAGCAATTTAAATAACTGACTATGGAATTGCTAATACAATAATTTATTAAACGAGACTTTATTTCTAAGACTAATATATCTTGTGAAAAACAACGCCAAGTATACATAATTCTCTAAAAAAAATTAAGATACAATTAATTATATTTACTTGGTATTCATGAACATTTAATTTCAGTTTTGATAAATTAAAAACGCTGCCAGACTTCCACTAATTAAGTTGAAAAACCCTATCAACTTGTAGAGTAAATTTGTAGACTTACAATTGACGATGACTGTTATTCTTTTGCTGACAGACGGCGGAACACCATTTGAGGCAATACACAGGTAGTGACCCATTTGCCTCCTGCTGACCTGCGTGATATTGAGAACGGGACCACTGAAGCTTGCAACTTGTAAATAAACGAACAAATTGTCAATTTCCCGTAATAAACCAGCTAGTAAACGAAATAGGATTTACTGAGCAGTTGATTGATTTGGAAATAACCATTCATAACAAATGGACGGTAGACAAATTACTGACCAATCTATTTTTCTATTATCTGCCTTAATAACATTTGAAATACTTCTAACTTTTTGTTTCCGTCGCGATCACCGTCCACGTTTCACACCCTTACAGAAGCGTGATCCAAATGCACACTTAATCTTTTCGAGTTTTCAAATTAACCGTGAGTCTAAATGTGGTGTAGGTTTGGTTGCATACATCCTAATGACGTTATGACAATTATGTTTTTGTTTGACGCGCATAGTTGGTTGTATATTAAAATATTACCTATATCTATTTGCATTACCTATATTCATTCATTCAAGATCTTACAGCTTCATTATTATTCAATTAACAATTTCATGTGTGTGGTAGGTTATTACATATAACTTTGGTACGGTGCATATCATTAATGGTTTGTTTACCTTGTTGTCCATTAGGCAAGTATATGTTTTCATTATTTTCCCTTTTCCAGGTAATGGTCGGCTCGGGAGATCCGCGGGCTGCGCATCGTAAACTTATTGATGCACCCTCCCTCACAATCACATCCGAACTGGTCGAATGGTCCAATATGTCTGGCGGAACTGAAACAAAAGACGGGGTAAGTTTGAATGCTTCAAAGTACTTAATTCAATAAACTCTAACAAATCCTACTATTTTAATTATCTACAGCTGTATGTAGATGTAGTTTAGGCAGAAATTTGAAGAGATTTCTTATTTCCCCACCTGCTAATGTCCTTAAGTTTGAACATATTTGAAACGGCATCATAAACTTTTATGAAGAAAGAAAGTGCAAATAAATCTGGGGAAAATTCTCGTAAATTTTACTAGGTATACTAGTACTAGTAGTTTATCTAGATATAGATATATGATAATGCTCTAGCGTAGATTTGTCTATGTGTTTGTCCATCACTGAACTGAAAATCGCACAAAATATGCATGAAATTAAAAACTAGGGTTTTGTAAGATTTCATCCGATATTATTAAGCAGTTTAAACGCTACCAAAAGCGTTGTAGACCAAATCGACATAATTGAGATAAATAATTGTATGACATTCTGGAATTAACTGAGAATTGAAATATTTAATCAAAAGATGGATACAATGCTTAGGCTACTTTCCCTATCTAGGATGTTTCCTTTAATCACAATAATCTTCAATTAAAAGTCGCTAATTTTGACGTGGAAGCAAACGATTGCAAAGAGGTCTATGTTCGGGTGTATGGTTGGTTGAATATACATTGTATTTATAAATAACAAATTTTAAAGATCAGTCAATAAATCTTCAGACGAAGAACAGAGTAATCCAATCAAGGTTGCGTCTGTTCGTTCCTGAGTACGGAACCCTATACGTCCATTGCCTATGTACTTAACTTTGTCTTTGGAAAGCGGAAATATTTAAATTTAAACCAGTCCCAAAAGTAATTATGTTTATTCATATGGATACTCTCCTTTTGATGTTCTACATAGAAAGCTTTTGCATTTTGAGCAGTTATAAACAACAAATACTAGTAGATTAATAATTGAAATTGATTAGTTGAATAAATGGAAAAGTTTTATTTGGTTTAGTGACAACAAATTAGTTTGGAATTCTACCTTTTGCTTGCTTACAAACCAAATAAAAATTAATTTAAATAATTCAGGGGACCGCGCGTGTATTTTGTTTGATTATGCTCTGTGAAGCTAGAAAGCCTTTGAAGCGTTGCTTTAATGTAAACATTTTGGCCGGGTTACAAATTCATTATTTAAATAATTTCGGACAAAATTAAAGTACAGTAGCAATGTTGATCAAATTATTATTTATTTGTTCATCTGTTTTAATGCTAAAGGAAGATCTACGAAAAAGCTTTGAATAAAATCAATGATAATCGCAGATACTCTGCGGGCCGGATTAACCCTTTTGTGATTTTTTTTTATATTCTCAACCCAAGCACATGTAAAAGTAGAATCTATGATTGCAAACATTGAAACTTCTGTGACGATGTCCTTAAACATCCTTACAGAACGGAAAAGTATTCTAATGTTAAATGAAAAAAATATTTGAAGTCGATATATTTTAATGTGATGTGAGTTGGGTTAGGTTAGGTTAGGTTAGGTTAGATTAGGTTAGGTGAGGTTATGTTAGGTTAGTTGGGAAATTTTTACGTTCTTCTAAAATCATTGGAGCATACCTTGTATAGGTATCTAATTTTATTAATTTGTTTCATATTTCGAAACATAAAAAGGAATAAATTTTCCCCACAAAAAAAATTAGCATTTGCCAGATTATGTTTGCCTTCCTAAAGTACCCGTATCCATGACCCGCAACTGGGTTTAATATTCGTGCTTCCAGATATTAAAGATGGTGTGAACGTATCAACAAAGAAAACTGACACTCAATAATATCATCACAGCAGGCTGACTGTTAACCTTCCGCACAGGAATACGAAATCCACGGGCGGAAGCCTTCAAAATGACAAATTAAATAAACTTAATCAGTGTAAGTAATAAAATGCAAATTTATGTAAATAGCGTTACGAACGCGATACTGTTCCCAGTCGGTGTTCCGTATATTTTGCGATGGCTTAATTCGACTTCTTTGTTCTATAAACGTAATAAGGCCCACAAAAAACACATTCGTATAGCCACCAACTTAAAGGGATCTGAACTGATAACGACGGCGTCACTAATATACAAAATTAACGCCCTCGGTTCTCCATTGTAGTTCCTTGAAGAAACACAACGGACCTTCTTGACTTATGCCTGCCTTATTTACTTTATGGCACAATCATTTATGAAACATTTTTCACACAGTTTCTGTTAATGTATTTCATATTAAAACATTGATAAATTAAGTGAAAAAGCTGTAGCGCCGACCAAGCATAGAGCCCGGGACCGCTTGTATGACAATCGACCACAGATACCCCTCGACCATTACCGTTCGTCGAGTATTGTGATGACCGCATGTCTTGCACGGAATCTCCGAATTTGAACAGCATTTATAGCTACACAACAGCATAAACGATTAAAACGACGACAAACCGTCAACTTTGTGGCATTAATTGAATAATTTTTTACAATTATTTGGAAGCAGGACAAAATGTGGCTTGGAATAAATAACTTAGGAACCATGATTAGTTCTATATATAGCAGGCATTGGATCAAAAAGCAATTTACTTCGATTTTAAATTGTTACAAAATTTAATTTTTGATTTGCATTTTGTGCATTCATGATAGCCTGCGACCTAAGGTGGAACAACAATGGCAGTCGTATCAACTGTATCATTTCAGTGATTTACATTTTATTGCGAACGGGCTTCCTTTTAATGGACCTTCACGGCAGTAATAAAAAGTGTAACGCATCCTTTGCATACTTTACAACGCCATAAAAACTACAAAAGCTCCATGTAGATAGCACGTTGGAAGCAAAAAGTTGCACTGTGCATCCAACTCTGTTTGCTCTTTCAACCCCTCCAGCAATTTTTTGAAAGCGCCATTTGTATATCGCAAACCGAGCGAAAATGTAAACGAAAATCTTCGCGTTTTGTTATTACAAAAGTTGCAACCAATCTGTTTTCTGTGTCACTGAAAATTGGTTATTTCAAAAACGCCACATGAATAGGTACCTACTCCATGGTTGCTGTAATCTTAAAGAAAACGGTACCGTTACCGTTAGGTAATAGTAAAACCTCAAGCAATGGACAAGTTCTCAAAACAGCAGCGTTTGGTAATAAAAAGGCAACAGATTCTTGTATCGATTTCAGCCTTTTGCAAAAGAATGAAAATCTGTAATAAATGGTGGAGCATACGTAATCCTAAAATGTAGCATCGTACTACAGATGGCGTTTACCACGCCATTTGTGGTATTTTCTAAAACGCACTGTTAAGCCAGCAGGTAAAAGTTGGTCTGTGTTCTGTCGGAGCTGCCTGCGACACGCTGATGAGATCCAAAAAGATCGAAATCGCGATCCGCGTCTGGCAGTTTCGACAGAATACAGACCACTTCGAATTATTTTGTTCGATTAGTGATGGAGTTCTTTCGCTGTCGCATTTTATTCTAGAGATCAGCGAAAACACTCAATTTCGTTTTTCTTATAAAACACCCTGTCTGTTATAAAGCAACCGCTGGTTATAGGATATGTATACAAGTGTTTACACTGTTTTCATTTTCTCCGAGCGATGCACAAAACGTATTTCGACCGGGGGATGAAAAGCCTCTTCTTGAAGCTCGGTTTATTACTTGGTCGACCTCGTTTCTCCCTCGGAAACACTGACAATCTCTAATCCCGGCTAGAAGCGTTATTAGCGTTTTGTTTTGCCTTGTGTGATTCCTTTCGAGGTGTCAAGTTGAGTCAAAACTGAGATGCAGGGATATCTGCTACCTTTTGTACTACTACTCTTAAGCTTATAGCAGCGTAATTTAATTTTAAATCTAAAGTGAAGATAACGCCATTCAGAGTTGCAGTACAATAAACTTCAACTGCAGAAAAATATGTTAAATATTTGTTAATTTTAAAGTATACAATAACTAAATATTAATAAATGATGTTACTGTACTTTGTTTTGTATAAAGATTATGTAAATGTCCTCATGACTTTCATACCAAAATCCAAACTCATAAAGGTTTGGCGGTTAATAAATCTGTATGAACCAGATGTAGATTTAGTTGAAACTTTCAAAATTCGCATAGTCCGCAATAAAACTGTCACATTTACTTTCTTCTTTCAGCTTACTATAGTATAGTCGAAATAAGAAGGCAAAGTCCCCAATAAATAATGCACACTAAAGGCATATCGTTTTTCTCGTTCTTACAAACGGAAGATATCCTGTCTTTACTTTCTAAACACGCCTCCTCCACAGCAATAAAGTAAAGTAAGGAAGCTAAACTAATTGATGAAGTCCTTAAAGAGAACGGCCTGGCCGATATAAAAAGGACATACGCTATTCAAGAGGTAATACCCTGCTCATTGTAAAAAATAGTTACATTCATGATTTAATAATAAATCTGTTGGAAATGTGCCTGAGTTTTTTTTAATCAATTCCTTCCGTTTTTGAATAAAACAAAAATTGTACGTGAATTTACCAAAATAAAAGTAAAATAGATACATATGAATTCGTTTGTTAACGCACAATACAGAGAGATTCTTGTGCTTAATGTAATTGGCATTGATAATTTAGTGTTACTTGGATAATCTTGAGAAAATTTTCCAAAAGTAAAAAGAAAAATTAACTGTAGCCGAACCTAAATGAACGCTGAAAAAAATACAGTAAGGGCATGCTTCCCTGATTGCTATATAATATCATGTTCGTAAACGAGTTTTTAAAATAACTAGCTAGAACTACCCTCAACGGAGTATATTACACACCCGAAACTCTCTTCACACCCTAACAGATCGAGGTGCTAGCNTATATTGTACTTATAAAACAAATGAATTTCTATTTATTTATTACATATTTAACTTGTTGTGGAGTACAACGCAAACTTAAATTCATGCTTTTCCTTTATTAGAAACGATTTAATTTTTGACAACTACAATTAAATACAAACGAGGGGCTTTTTCGAACTTTCAGCAAGAAGGCAGTCAGAACGCGATGTGGCCGTTTTTTCCGGCTACTGGGCGTTTTCGGTCTTCGGGCCTAACATATATATAAGTACGTGTATAATACATATTTCAACTTTTACCATAAAAATATTCGTAAAGTACCTGATTGGATCCAATGAATAAATTTGTGAAACAAAAAAAGGACTCGGACTATTAGAAAATGCCTCTAATGAATTTGGAATTAAATTGGCTTTATTTTAACGTTTACCGGTAAAAAACGAACTGACACACGGGTGGTGAATTTCCACTGTATTGGATTAAGTGGCTTTAAATGTAGAAACGTGTGCGTTGTATAACCATCAGTAATGACAGTTCGAAATTTCAAACTTGAGCCCTTACAATTGCGGAATTATCATTAAAATGACAAATGCTGTCCGTTTTTCAGATGTCGAATAGCATGAAATTGAATTTATATTTACTCGTTTGTATAATAGTAATATCATCAATCTTGATCAAATGAAACCGCAAATTTTTAAATTTCTTTAAAAAATCTGTACGTATTTTTATACTCAATTCAGTCGAAACAATATTTTTCGATGTATACGCTAAAATTTCACCGCAAGAAACTTTTCTCATTTAACTCAAAGTCTGCATATCGAAGTGATGGTTATGACGAAGTCAGTAGGTACAAGTGTCTTGTCTTATAAAGATACCATTTCTTCTATTCTACTTCTCTAAACTTTTCGTATTATTAAGAAGTGGTGGTTGACTTTAATAATTCCTACATACAACTTTATTTTGTCATTTAGGCAAGCTATTGACAGCATAAAACTAAAGTAGAAGAAAGTTGCGATTGAATCTATGAATTATTTGCGACACTTTGTCATCAAGATTGAAAGACTTTTATGATTTCATATTTCATATTGAAAAAAGTATCCTTCTCTATAAATAAAATACTTTTCTGACAAATGTGATAGTTTTGGGAAATTTAGAGGATGAATAAATAAAATAGTGGATTTTTTAAGTTATCTCAACGTGGGTAGTTTATATTAGAAAGCATTTATAGAATTTAGGTCCAAAACTCCATATTTTTCTAAAAGCCTTACAAAATAATTCCACTTTTACCTCTGAACTTAGTGAACCAATAAACTTCCAATAAAAATTTGGGGAAGGCTGTTATCCATTCGTTTATAATTATTTTCTTCGTAGGTTGACTAACAACCGTAATTTTAATGGATTAGGCGGAATTAATTTACGTAGATTAGCTACCTATTCTGATGAGTTTATTTTTAATAAGAATTTGCAGATAAAAAAAGATTTATAGTATAAGTAATAAGTATAGACAGACCTCTTCAGGGAAGCATAAGTCATATTCTTTTAAATAGCTTTTTAGTAGAATCCTTACACTATACATGCGATTGTTTATCAAAAACACAATGTTAAACCTTATTTGACACAAGAAAACTAGAGGAGAAAGAGATTTTGCCGTTTTGTGTTTGACAAGAGATAACTGATATCATGTAGTAGTCATTAGGCTGTATAGACCCAATCGCCTCGGATTAAGTATGTTATTGTGTCTCTACTTGGTCTAAATCTAATATAGAGATACATCATTTTACATGCGGTTCGTGGAGTTCTAAAGTGGTCAAAAAGATCATTTGGGTTGGTCACCCCTGTCATAGAGAAGTCAAATAAAAGCCGTGATATCAAGTAAATAGCCGAAATGCTACGAAGAACTTATCGTTAATGACCGAATGAAGCCTTTTAGAATTACATGAAGCATTTCCCAATTGACCTAAGGTATCCATCTGCTAATCGGTGATCACGCAGCTATAGTTGGGATGTTAAAAATTGACATAGTCCGCAATAAAAGTGTCGCATATACTTTCTTCTTTCAACTTATTAACTAGACTAGAGCGGCTGCTGATAGAACGCCTACTTTTACTCAGGATTGACGTTGTACAGAATATCGTAAACATAGAAAAGAGATGCCAGGTAGGAATTGCAGCGGACACTAATACAGAAAATGGTATAGCATTACACTAATAGATATGTAACAGAAAGAGGTGCCTGTAGACTATACCTAGATAGGGTTTCTATCGTTATTTTTAGCACAGTATTTATGATAATAAACGAATATAAAATTTCTTCGTTTTCTTTTTGGTTGGGAATGATAAAATTTATTATTTCGCAAATAAAATTTTATTTTCTGAAAAAAGGTGTAATCAATTTTAAGCTTCGCTAACGATTCACTCAATTCAAATTTTGGTTTTGATATTTCTCTCCTTAAGGCACGAGCAATCCGCTACAAGGCTAGAAGTCACATTCAAAGAACAACTTGATAAATTCCAGAAATTTACACCACTGAAAATAGCAGTAGGTATCTCTCTATATTCGTAATTATACCCTAGTGTTCCTTCTTGGAAATTTAATATGATAATTATTTATTTCAAACAGAGAATTCTTGGAATCGGCTCAGAATGTTATTTAAATAAGACCAACCCTAGACTGTGGATTTGTAACTATAAAAAACTTCATTTGGGGAGAATTATTGTAGTTTAGCTTCAGATAAATCTCGCTCCTAAGAAATAAACAAAAACCAACGCCTGGAAGCTTGGTAATGTAGGTATTAAACCGGAGAAGCGATGTGATGTCAACTTTTGCTTAATATCTTCCTTAAACAGGGAGTTTATAAGCTAGTTCGAGATGTTATTTCCCTGGGCGCAAACTGTCGATTCACATCCGAACTCTCAAACTTAATTTCCTCTTCGAGTTTTGTCGTTTGACCTAATATTTCGATTTCTATTACGACTCGAAATTAAGAGCTTGTTTTGTTAGCTCGTCAAATTTCAATAACAATTTTATCGCTGTGACATCTTAAACAATTACTTCCGCAAACCTTCCCCATTTTTCGGCCGACGCGGCGCGCCTGGAGACTTTGATAAGCTTTATGCAATCAAGGACTCATTGATCTATAATCTCCAAGGGATTTAAATCAGAATTATCTCGCTCCGTTATATCAGACGTACTCTCATTGAAGGATTAATATTAAAAGTGAAATAAATAACATTACTTTTGTCTGCAGTATTACCTTTACCCCTAGGGAGAACATTTTTACCTCAAACCTTTTTCGTTTACCCCAACCACTCAATCCGCCCAAATATTCAGTACAATCAGTTTTTACAAATACGATAACCTCGTAACTCAAAATCTTCGGCGATAGTCTACGATTGGTTAACCTTCTAGATTAGAATTTATAAGTAGCGTGTAGCATGTAACGTGTGGTCTTCAAGTATGAAATGAGGGACATGCTGAAGAGATACTTCTAAGTAGATTCTTAAAACAGACCCCCACGTACCAATCTCGATATTGCTAATCATTAGACAAAACAAAATTTAAATACTTAAAAATGTACGGATGACTTACAGAGACAGTACTGTATGAAAATAAATAAAAGTAAAACAAAAATACTGGTATGCAAGGGAAAAAAAAGTAGGGAAAGAGCGAATATAAAGATAGGAGACGAAGAATTATCGGGTTGTTCGGAAAGTCATTTCGTTTTTTCCCGACAGAGGATTTAATTGTATTCTTTTGCACTTAACTTCACATTTAAGCCGTATAATTTTTAGATGCTTTGAGAGCTCATATAGCAAGGCTTGTGTGTGAAAAATTCCANCCGACAAAGAAATGTGTAATTTTTATGTTCGATGAAAGAGCGGCGTAAGCTGCGATCGATACATCGGCACTTGTTATATTAATAAAACACTGCCTCGAGCCAACAGCTGCGGTCTTAAATCATGTACGAATATCATCCATACAAAATACACGTCAATAGGGATACGTCGGAAAGTTTCCGGAAGTATTCATGAACATTCCATGACTGTATAGATAGTGTTTATCAAGTCGACCAGAAGCGGGTGATAAAAGGTGAAGTAGTGTCCAAAAAATTCCTGTTTGTCCAAGTCCTAACAATGATATTAAATACATAATGATACATAGTTTGTATATAAAGAGCAATGTGCAGTTGCTGGTCGTCAGTCCTAAGACTAGTTGGACACGTACCTCCACTCTTTCCAATTCTGAGCTAAATTTCGCATTTCCCTAAAACTAGAATAGCCCACATCATTAACTATTTGCGAACAGTAATGTAATCTAGGTCTACTTGTACCCCTCTTAACACCTGTTTCTCCCTCTAATATGTCTCTGACTAGACCTCCATGCCTGAGAAGGTGTTTGCTATTATTTCTAATACCACTTCATTTCTTACCTTTTCTACCCACGTTGTGCTCATCATTCGCCTGTAACACCATATTTCGAAAGCTTCTAACCTTTTCTTTTCCGCTGCGCCCACTGTCCATGTTTCGCACCCGTACAACGCCGCGCTCCAAACATACACCTTTAACAACCTTTTTCGAATTTCTAAATTAACCGTCGCTAGCATGGAAGTGACTTCTTTTTATTAAAGGCGACACGACCCTGCGCTATCCTCTGCTTAATATCCCTACTACCCCTTCCGTCCTGACTTATCTGATTTCCTAGATATCTAAAATCGGTCATTTCTTTTAGTTTTACGTCTGCTATCTTTATATTCGCTCTTTCCCTACTTTTTCTTCCCTTGCGCTCAAGAAAAATAAATTGTGAACGTGTACGTAAGTATTTAAAACTTATAGTTGGATGAGTTACATGTTTTAAAAGGAATCTTCCTAGTTATTGCTGATTTTTATAGTAGATATTTTCTTTAAAAAAAGCTGTAAAGTTTATTGACTCTTAAGTTTTTTTTCGATTTTGTAGCAGGTATTATACGGTAGGGTAAGAAAGTTAATAAAAGTTTTATATTTTTGCACGGCTGCTGCATCATTTAACAGTCAGTTTTTCCGTTTCCGCGTTTCGAACGAACGAACGGCCCAACGCGTATTATTATTATTATCAGCTAAGGTTCAAGTTTGGTTATCGTCTAAAAACATTTCCTTCCATTTCCCACGGGGGCGAACCGTTCTCCCTTTGAACGTAGCGTAACTCCTGTAGGAACGCGTGTACATAATTTAAATCTAAATCGGCATAAGCTTTTTGAACGTTAATTATTTAGAAAAGCAGTTGCCTCTCAAAGATCAGCGAACCATCAGATTCGTTTGAGATTTATATAAACGAATTTTACTTGTGCAACTTCTCTATTTAGTCGCGCAAACATTTACATTTTTGGAAGACGAATCACGCTCGAAAGGACTAACTCACTTCAACTTTTAGGAGTTTACGTTCGGAACTGACTTCTATAACGAAATAAACTCGTAAGAAAAGTTAAATATTGTACAAAAGAGAAATCACATATTCGACAAATAATTAGGGTCATGTTATAGCAAACTACGTATCATTACGTTAGTGTTTCCGTTCTAGAAGAAATTTAGTATACTTTTAAACCGAGACCTCAAATAACATTTTGAGTCTTAATACTTGCAATTATAGAAATATAGACAATAAAATTCTATTATAACTTATTATTAGTACGAAGCTATAGTAATTATTGACAGATATTTATTTACTACTAAAAACGCGCGAGAAATACAATTCGATTATCTTCGAAATTTCTAGCCCAGAAACCTAAAACAAAATGTACCTATACATTGCTTGAAAAGATCATGAGACCTTTCCTTAAACTTATTTCAAATTTAAATTCAGTACTCGACTGTGATAAGAGGTAACATATAATGTAGAAATAGGCACTGTGATGAACGTATGTCCGCAGACGAGGATAAGACACGGAGCGTTTGATTTAGTGCGTCCGAAAGCTGTAGCACGCTGAGTGACACATGCATGACCGCATAACAAAAGAATTTCGAGAGAGAAATCAAGAACTACTAGTTGACTGATAAACAGTAGCGAATCAGTGACAAATATTGTGAGTTGAAAATGATTGTGAAATAAATAACTGTTTGTGAGTGCAAATAGGGGTGCATATAGTATTATTGCGTCATTGATCTGTATTACAATAAGACTGAGCGATAAATTTAGAGTCAGCAATATTTTGCAAATGTCAAGCTAATGGTACCTATATAATATAAAATGCTTTATAAACGAGATCGATTTATTGGTATATGAATTAAATAAAATTCAGGGGTATTACGTCATTCATTAAGAAGACATAAAATGAAAAAATGAATTTTACTAAATGAACAGCACTGCAATGAGGCTATTGGAATGTCCTAAAGATTTTTTTTGAGGTTAGACAATTTATTTAATCAGTCGATGACAGCAAGGAAGCTTCAGATCCTGGTTTAAGTAGTTTCTATTCTCTCTACTCTCTGACTGAGCTAACCAAACGAATCTTTTCAGATTCAGATTTTGTATCGGTGGCGGAACGTGAAAGGTCTATTGTTAGGAAATGTTGGTATTTGATGGGACTAGTAAATAAAATTTTATTGCCTATTTACGAACCTTTTTTGTTGAAACTTCCTTTGTTAACCGCCGCAACAGTGGCAATAAAAGAATGAGTGGCAGAATTCTCAGAAATCTGACCATAAAACATCTATTACCTGCAGCAGAATCGTCATGTTAACGCCATATAATTTATTTAAGTGTCCACTTTGTTATCATTTCCTTTTATAGATTTTTTTGTATTACTATTTAATTAGTCCATGCCTGTTTTACTTAAATTACTTTTACATAATTGCCGACTGTACATATAAGAGTAAGAAGCAAATAATTGTTTAATAAATACGTGGTAATTAATTTGATAAAGACACTTAAGTTTCTTACAAAAGATGAAGTGTAAAAGGGAAAGTGTAATTATGGGAATACGGCTGCCTTCTCTTCGAGAAAATTTGGTGTTTACTATTTTGAACAATTTGCGAAATTTTAGCCCGTTAATGTGATTATGTTGACGTCAAGGTGAAATTCCGAGGGTTAATTTCACGTTTGAAGAACGTTAGACTTCAACAAAGAAATTATATTCGTATTTCCCTTACGTAATACTTAAGATACGTTTCACTGTTTCACGTAGTCTCCATGCCGTGCCTGAGCTGTTCGTGAAACACATCGTTCCGAAAAAAAAAACTTGGGTGTTTCATTCCCACCAGCTACTAATGCTTGTGGGCGGGTAGTCTCTCCGGACTATGCCGGAAGGTAGGGCGGGAGACCGTCTTCAGCCTCCTGTAAGGAATCGTGGGAATGGGTGGGTGGTGGTTCGGGTGAGAAAGTTGAGACGGACGAAATGAAGACTGAAGAGAATGAAAGATTATCTGTGGAATAT